CAGACTGCACTAATGCCACTGTACGCTGCAGTGATGTGGAGTGGTGACAAGGTGGTACAATAAGAGCAGTCAGACCAGCCCTCCTCCACGTGTCCTCCTGTCCTTTCTCCTCTCCTCCTTGTCTGTCTGATGGGGCTGCCTGTCTCTCTGTACTGGGACACGGATGCGCTGTGATGGGTTTGTGTGCCTACAGGAACGGAGGCCAAGGCAATAATGATGATATATAGTGGAAAGTGCATGCATAATTTGGTTAGAAATTCTATCTGCTGGTAAATTAATAGTTTAATTAATAGGCCCTTTGTCATTGTTGATAATGCACCTGGCCAGTAGCTTCAAACATAGATGCAAAAGCTTGGCTGATATGGAGAAAAAAATATATACAGTACAGAATGGTAGATCAAATGTCCAAGTAACAGAGTTTAGACTAGGCTGAGTTGGCCGTGGGGAAAGTAGGCTATTGCCCCAGTTATAGCTTGCTATTTAAATATGCCAAATTTGAATGTCTTGCTTTTTGTGAAAGTTATAAGAAGTCTTAACAGTTTGTGCTTCATAAAGATTCATTAAATTGACACTATCTTTCTGATTTTTGTGAAGGTTTTTACTTTTACTTCAACATGATATTCATTAGTTGCATTTGGAGTAGTCATACTATATGTGGTATTTGTGTGTGTGGGTTGGGGAGGTTAAGAAATAACAACTATTGATAATAAATAACAACTATTGATAATAAGAAAACAAGACACATTTGCAATTCTCTTTTAACTTAATGTATACTTCGAGTTTGCTTCTCCCGCAGCTGGCAGTTTTAAAATACGCTCCAATCACCTTCCCTCGCTGTATACTGAATGGAAGCTGGGAAATGACGATGAGTAGTTTGAGCACATTACAGGACTATGGAGTATGTATGCATATGGTGGACCATGACCAGTTGAGTCCCTCTGCAGCTCTCCAGCCTCTGATTGGACAAGAGCCTTGTCCTACTTTGGTCCTGCCATAATTGCATAATGCTTGAGTACCTACCTCACTGTGACATCTTCTGAATATGAATCATGCTAAAACATGTGGATCAGGTTTTATTGAGTTGTCACACATACACATAAGGTAACTGCTGTGTAGACAACATGACAGACCGTGATATCCTCTTCTTGATTTCCTTAATACCTAGTATGAACCTTATTACCGGGTATGAACATTTCTGTCTTTAATTTGAAAGGTACATAATGTAGCTATTATATATGTATATATATATATATATATATATGTGTATATATATATATGTGTGTGTATGTGTATATATATATATATATATATATATATATATATATATATATATATATATAATAAAACACCTGCTTCTCTTCAGTGAGATGATATTGCTTTCTCCAGGATGTTTCTCAGTGTGACATTTATCTGTCAAACAAGCAGGTCATGCATGTTTATTTTTTTTATTTTTTATTTATAAATAAAATAAATGCAAGATATATTTTTATACTCTACCAGAAATGTTACATAGTGCCCCTTTTTGGCAATGTTGGGTGCTTTACAAAGTAACATAACTACTTTTTTCGGATAAAAATAATAGTAATAATTGTTCCTTTTTCAATTCGGCGCAACTTTACTTTTTTGTGTGCGTGGGCCAGACCTGGCCCTGGCGGCAGCACTGAGGGTACTCTGTCTCGGCCGACAGTCGAGCCACAAGCAGGGGCCTGTCCCCGAGAGGGCACAGTGGGCACTAATCCCACGGCGGAGGAAAAGGAGCCGTAAAGCATGCAGTTGGGGCGTCGTGCCACCTTCACCTCAAGTCTTTCCTGGCCAACCCAGAGCCGGTTGCAATGCACTGCCTTGGAGGAAGTTCTCTTATGGTACTTGTCAACTATCTGTCTCATGCCAATATTTTGCCTTACGTGGAGTTTACCACCAAAAAGTTACAAAAGTAACGAGTAACGTAAAAGCTTACTTTCCATAATGAGTAACTAAGAAAAGTAAGGGATTACTTTTTAAAGAAGTAAAGAGTAACAAACAAACACTACTTTTTTAAAGTAACGTCCCCAACACCGCTTTTTGGTTGGGGGTCCCTCACCAGCTTGTTTCTATGGATATGTCACTGCTCTGACTGGAATGTTTCACAGTATGACATTAAACAGCTCTACCTTACATTCAATACAAGTGAAGTCTTATAGATGAAAAATATCTAGAAAAACAGGCATTCTGATTGTGAGTGGTGTTGCCTCTCCACAGACTGACCTGTAACTTGGTCTGGTTTGGTCTCCATGAAGATAAAAGAATTTAATACCATACTGTAAAACATCCCAAAGAAAGCAATAACATCAGCATGGAGAAACCCATTTGATGGACCGTCCACCAGAAAAGTTACACAGTGCACATTTAATATGAATTTTTCTAATTCTTGTCACTTGCTTCAGATTTAACTAGTGTTAAATCTAAATAGTATTCAATAAGTGATGTAACTCATCTTGGTGTAAATTAAACCTATGGCCAGAAATGCATGAGCTGCCTTTTTGAACTCCTCCTGTACTGTAGCTCATTTGTAATAACTTACATATTGCACTGTTTTGCATAATTGCGGTATAACCACATCTGCACCTCTGGATCTCTTCATCTCCTCCATCTTATTCACTTGTTTCATGAGTAGTTGCTTCTCTTCTTGAATCTTCATTCATTTTTTACTCCTCCACCTCTTCTCCTTATTCACTACATATCTTCTTTTGCAAAATCCAAATAGAAGGAGACAGTTTGCAGCTGTGGGTTTTATGCTCCCGACAGTATCTTGAAGAACAGCTTAGAGGCCCACACTGGCACACAGAGAGATGGGCGGGATCCATAGTACTATCCTGACACTTTCATCTGTCTCTTATATAAGACTTTTCTATATGAGGGAACAGTGTGTGGCTTGCATGCTTAATATGCTGTGAAATCCTTTGCATTGAAGAAGATCATATATCACTTACTTACTTACTTAACTTATACTCTCTTTTTTTTCCTTTTGTAGTAAGGGCAGTATCACTGACTTTTGTTTCCATCCAATACCAAGTAATGCAATGTAAAGTAGTGCAGTACCAACACCAATGAGTTTTGTTTAAAAAATTCAATTAAACTCCACTACTATAAACTATTTCAATTATTATTTTTCTCCACCCCAACCCCCAACTGCTCCACCCCAAATGAACTGAACTGAACTGAAGTAAAAAAAATATATATATATGCCAAGACACTAAAATATAAACAGCGTGTTTAGAAAAGTTATTGAAATTGTATTAAAGGTGTTTTTAGGACTATTAAGTATCGATATTTGTGCCTGAGAATCAATGCTTTTCAGTATCGATAAATCAATATTTTGTATCAGTCTGCCCATCACTATTGTAGGAGGAAAACAATATAAACCCACAGTCACAACCTAAACACCTCAAATTATGATCAGGACCTTCATATAGTGATTATGGGGAATAAATATGCACTTAATTGTAATGATCAATAAACAGCTCATTCCCCAAGTAGATTTATTTCACATTATAGGATTTAAGAAGCAACATACGTCTGGTTCAAATCGCTGCAATAAAATTTGATCTTTATAAACAGATCAATGATTCTGTGGTTGAATGCGACTATAGATGCTATTTAATACCCAAAGAAATAATATGGCAATAAAAATCACATTTACTCATTTACTAAAATTATCGGCTTACTATGGTTTGGATAGGCTGTTTGCTTAAGGTATATTTGTCATTTCTCATGCAGTATAAAGATTTAGCAACAAAGTGTTTCATTTGTAGTTAACACAGATTTGAATAATCAAGTTTGAGATTGATGTTTCGAAATATCAATGATCAACTTGGGTCTTTTTAACTGGCAGGTCAGTAGCCAACCAACTTTAAAATGATCCAACAATATCAGATAAAAGAATGTGGTTAATTTAGCGCCTATAGTCTTACATTTTTGGTGTTCAAATGACATCACACCATTGCATAGGCCAATGATATTGAACACAGATGATGCAGCTCAAATAAATATTGTTAAAATGCAGATTTTTGTTGTTACTTTTTGGATATTTCATGGCAAAATACAATGTAATCAATAGGCAGATTTGGAGCTTGTCTGCCATCTTGGAGTAGCACATCAACACAATCTAAAATCTTAAAAGCACCAATAGTTACAAAATAATAACAAACACAATAATAATAATAAAAGACACACCAGGCTCAACCCTGTCCTAATCCTGTATTCAGTGTGATAACCATAAACTGCTGATGCTGTGGATATGAAAACTTCTTAATTCCCTGACATCTGGTCATTTTAACAACTTTCTTAGCTCTCAAAATGTAATTGAATAAGTGCCACACCAACAGATTTTGCTGCAACAGAGACCAATGATTAGTCTCTGTTGTCAACAATATCAGTGCCAACAAACAATACTCAATTATACCGCTACTACTTTAGGGTGACCAGACGTCCCTATTTACCCGGGACAGTCCCAGTTTTGAGCCCTGTGTCCCCTGTCCCAGCAGATTTATCCAAAAACAGTGATTTGTCCCAGTCTGAAACTTGCCAACAATAAAGAGAGACATGCATTGTTATTTGTTTATGTAAAATACAGAAAAGCTGCTTAAAAATGACAAAAACACAAAGAAAATGTGACTATTTTCCTTAATTATGCACTTGTTTCACAATTTTATTATTACCAACTAAGCCAAACCAAGGATGTCCCAGGTTTTCCCAGTCCCTATACTACTTTTTAAATATTCAGAAATATAATAACTTTGTTGATTCCTTTCACTGTCCTTGCCACTCCCTATGACATCCAATCTTTTTGAAGATGGAGAAGGCCAATAGTCTTTGTCAGCTGCTATAATAGCTTTCATTTCACTCTCTAATCTACTCTCTTCATCTCATCACAAGCACGAGTCCGCACATGTCCCACTCGACACACTAGTTGCACCAAACAGTGACCGTGTGATCGTTAGCGATTAGCTGCTCTGCCACTAATGGTGCCTCTCATGGTGGGGGCAAACTTTGACACATGTCCTGGGACTCAGTTCCAAAAACATGCCATCTGTGCCCAGACAAGGTGGGGATGACCAGGGATAAATGCAAGCATAAAAGCACTGGCAATGGCAAGGGTGACTCAGCCTGCCTTAGAAAGATGTAGAGCAACTCATAATTAGTTTAGTAAGTGGGTGTAATGGTGAGTGAAAGGGGAGAAATTATTAGCTAGATTTCAATTAAAATAATAACAGTTTTCAACTCAATTAAAGCTGCATTACTTGAAAACTCCTTATTGCTCTGGCCCCAGGCATTCATTTCAAATTAAATTTGAACTATAAACCTATTATATAAACCTGTTATATACTTTGTATGATTTAAACATTGTTATCAGCAGTTTCCTCTTTGTTCCATTTGTATTGTTGTATATTACTATTTAAAACTGACACTGCAATGTTGTCAGATTTTTTTGTGTGTTAGTTTAATTTAAAGGTGCGGTGTGTAACTTTTCTGTTGGAGGGTTCATCAAATGCTTTTCTCCATGGAAATGTTTTTACAGTGTCTGGAATGTTTCACAGTATGGCATTAAACCTTTCTGTCTTCATGGAAACCAAACCAGACCATGTTACGGGTCAGATCTGTGGAGAGGCAACCCTACACACAGTCAGAATGCCTGTTTTTTAGGTATTTTTAAGCTATAAAGCCACATATAATTTAATACATGTAAGTTAGAGGTGTATAATGTCATACTGTGGAACATTCCAGGCAGAGCAATGACATATTCATGGAAACAAGCAGGTGTAGGACCCTAAATAAAGATTTACACAGTGCACCTTCAAGTATTATTAAAAATTTTTTAAATTTAAAAAAAACTTTTTTCAATGCCAACATATTACAGCATTATTCCAGTTAATCTGAGTTATTCTCAGCCATAGTTCATGCATGTAATAATAAAATTTTAATATTTGAACACTTGATTGACCTAATTCTCCATGTTAATTCTTTTTGCTAGTGTATTGCAGTCCTCTTATCAGTAGTGTTAATTAATGGCATGATGTGTGTGTGACGGAGGGCAGATTAGCTTGTTCCTATGGGCCTGCTTTAGACTGATTGAGCCTCTGGGGCCATGCCTGACAAAGACATGTGCAGCCCATATCTCCAGTCAGCAGCTCTGCCTCATCACTACTAAATGGAATGTGCTGGTTAATTTCTCCCTCGCCTCTGAACTCCTCATCAACTCTACTGTTCAGAAAGGCAACATCATGACAGAGATTGAAATTGACAAAACCAGAAAACAAAGCTAATACATTTTACTTTTTGTAGCTAACTTTTTCTCTATTCCAACAGGTGCAGACCAACTATGAGCAGCTGAGGCAGATGTTTGCTAGTAGTAATCCAATAAGTCCCCTGACTGTGTGGAGAGCCTTAAATGGGTTGTGAAGGTAAGGCAATTCAATTTATTTTACAAAAAATACCTTGACTGGGGTCCCCTGTCCACAGATCTGACCTATATCTTGGCTTAGTGGTGTCATCTGCTTGCAAAGGGATATTTATTCGAAAGGTCGTGGTTCGAATCATGCTGTCAACATAAAATTCATTGGTTGAGCGGTCAAATCCATCGATCCAATATTTACCTGCTATATTTAAGGTTGCAGTAATATTTTTTCAGTAATAATTTACTTCTTCATGTTACAAGCTGAGATTTAGATTTCAGTGAGATGCCACAATAACACAGAGCCTGTTATCAAGCGCCTAATGCAACAGAGTTAACCATTCAGCCACAACATAAGTGAATTGTACTGTACTGATCCACTCACTCCGTAATAACAATGGATAAACCCTTCGCTAATCTGGCAAAATCATTTGTACCACCAGAATTACTTCTCTACAAATAACCCAAATCTTACAATACAGTTCCAAAGAAAGCTAAGAACTCAAGTGAGCAGCCAATTCCCAGAAACAGAAGCTCTAATAAATCATTTTGCCTTCCATCCCATCTGAAAACTTGCTACACCAATTAATTTCTCTGTGCTCAAACTTTAAAATAAAAGTGATATAATTGCTCTGCATGGGGTGATAAGAGCTTGTTTTTCATTGCGTTCTGGTGTGCCAATAACTATCAGACACACAGTGGCTCCTCTCATTACAAATCCTCGCCTCCTGCATCTGTTATTGATTGTCTGTTTTGTCAGGATGTTTGAAAGAGGAATGCAGCCATCTGAAAAATACTGACCCTTTTCCCAATACTGTAAAGGAAGGTTTGTCACTTTCTCATTGTGTATTGATTCAGAAGACAAAGAGACTATTTACAGAAAATTACGGCATGGGGCAGACACAGATGGGGAAAAAAACTGCCAAAAACACAAGGGACTGGCTGTTTTTAAGGGAGTAGACACTTTTTAAAGTTATGTAAACAGGGTTTTGTCACAGCTCTGTGGGAAAAGCATGAGTTTGATCTGCATGGCTTAACTTCTGTTATGTATTTTCACAAAAAAGTGTATAGAAAGTTGCTGTCCAACTTGGCTGATAGGTGGCTTTAGTTTGAATTTGTTGTTTTAAATCGTATTTAGAATGGTTTATGCATGTTTATGCTCTCAGTTTTTATAATTTTTTTCTGTTCTCCAATTTGCTTTATTCTTAAACTGTGATGCACATAGATAAGGCTGCAAGATTAATTGCCATCAAATCAAAATTGCTATTTGAATGGACGCAGTTAGTAAATTGCAAGAACGATAATTTCCTACACAAAACAGTTAACAACAAATAAGTAAAATCTTCTGTCTTAATCTGCATTAAAAAAAAACAAAAACCTGCTAACCCTGTAGTGTAGATCTATGCAAACATTTTCTGAAATACATGTGATTCTTCTATTTGTCAGTTCTATTTGCCAATTCTCCTGGACACGTATAAAATGCGAAATTTGAACAGAATCTGATTATTAAAACATAAATCACAAATCCAATCACAGTCAGAAAATGCAATAAGATATTTTTCTGAAATCGTTCAGCACTACATGTACAACTTTGCAGCTTTGCATAGTCATTTTGGAAAGAATTACTTTCAAAAGTTAAAAGTTAAAATACTCAACTTTTTGATCCACATAGAATTGTAACTGTATAGCAAACAAAAGCATAAAATCTCCTTTACGAGACTACCAGTTGTTGTTGATGTTACTGTGCAAATATGAATATGACACTATTCTAATAGTATCAAACCACCTTCATTCTGTAATACATTCAATGTCTTTCTTTTCATGTGCCCTAGAGAAATAATTCAGTGAAGTTTGAGTAAAAATAATTTTCACTCACTTCCACGTTCTAAGGGAAGTCTGTATTCATTAGATAATGTTTTTCCGGGTTGTATGCTGCCTATGTTTTACCTTGTACTAGAGATCTAGAAATGCTATTAAAATCCATACGCTTGGGCAAGAGCATAAAAAAAATCACAAAATATGCAAACGTATCACACCTCAGTCATGGATGAGCAGATCTTTCCAATAAAGTTGCACCTGGACAATTTTATACAGATTTAAAAATGTAGTCCCCTTTTATGATCCAGCCTTTTCATATCCACATTCTCTTGCAGAAATGTTGTATTTAGTTAATGGATCTACATTTTGAGAGGCCCTAAAAGACTATAATTTCTTAGAAACCCAAGTGTGTGCCGATTACATAAGGGTTAACAGTTGAAGTGCTCTGGTGACAGTCCTCCTGCCCTGAGTATTGCGCAGCTTACAGCTCCCTGTGATTATGCAAAGCTGAACACCTCCAAGCGACCACTCGAGGAGGTAAAGACACTCAGTTTTTATCTTACAGGGAGGGACCAGACAATGTGATGGGTATCTGAGATGGGTATTCTCTAGTATTTTATTCTTATGCCTCTATGATCTTATATAGCCTTAACTGTTTCTGTGAGCTATGGCAGCTGCTCCTATCTGTGTGTGTAGATAAGGGACTGGGGTCACGATGCAGCTAATTTGAGAAACAACTTGATTTGGGATCAGAGATGTGCGACCGAAACTGTTTCTTTAGAAAATGTCTTGATACTTAAAAGATATATTGTCTTTGTTCTATCTGAAGAACAAGTGTAATATTTAATTATCTGTTGAAACACATATCAAAATATGACAGCACACATTTGGAGATTTTAGAGGTCTGCTTTAAAGATTCTTATGTTTTTTTTGTTTTTTTTAAAAACTTAATTACTTAATTAAACCAAATTCAGAGCAGATTTTGCCACATGATCATCCTTGTTCGCCATTCCAAATTGCCACAGCTTGATACAAGATGACTTCTTGTGGAAATTACTCAAAAGGTTTTCCTGTGTAATCCCTTAGTTGTCCAGGTATCATCAGATCTGAATAACCCACTTAGATGGATGAGCAGCAAAACGTCTTCACTCTAAAATTTTGTCCATTTGTCAGAATTGAATTCTTTGTTGGCTATTCCTGTAATTGGAAAAAAATATTAATGCAAGATTATTCTCTGCTCTTGTTAAAATCTCTGTATTAATTTACACACAATAAATAAATAAACCTTTGACTACTAGACCTGTATTTAGTTCTTTCCCATGTCTTAGCAATCTATCAAAGACAAAGCATCAATGAACAGGCGTCCAGTCGATAGCAGATAATTTGTTTAGTATACTGTACTGGTCTCTTAATGATCTCTTAATAATATCCATCAGTCTGACCACTTCCTGTTTTCCCTTCTCTGCAGCATATGCACGAGTCTGTCAGGCTGAAGCAGCGGCTGCACACGGAGCATGAGCCTGGCCTGGTGGAGCAGAAGGGGCCAAGTAGACTGCCAAAGGTATCTGTTTTCTGCTTTTTGCACACACGGGTCTTGGGGCTTCAGTCAGTTCATGCCAATGCCACTTGTGCACTTTCACTGATCTTAATCTCACCAGTGGCCCCATAGTGCTGAGTCACTGTCATTTGCTACTGTCCCTTGGAGTGTAAAAGGATCGGAAAACTGTCCAAAAGTCCTCAGGGATATTTGAAACGTGCTGCTCTGATGTTTTGTTTTTGGTACTTTGATTTAGTTAAGTTTTTTAGACTCACCTTTATAATCATTACACTTGAAC